CGCACAAGATGTCGGCCCGGTGGGGTGCACCTCCCAGCATGCTCCGCGGCCCGCCTTCCCCTCGCCGCGGCCGTTCCCGGCCCCAGCAGCCCGGGGCGGGTGAGGAGAGCGGACAGAAGCGCGGGGCTGGCGCTGTTCGGGCCGGGCTTGACGGTCTGGGATTGTCCGGACTGCCGGAGTGGAGCCACAGGTGCCTGGTGTTAACAGAAATGCCGCAGCACGGTAACGAAAAGGCGGGACGCCACGGTGCCCTGAGGGGCCGGCGCTGTTTCCTTAATTATGCTAAAACTGCGCTTCATGGTAATTTAAAAAATAATGGAAAATCTGTGCATTATAAGCGTATGAGACTGTCCGGGAATAGCAGCAGGCCTTGCATCCGTGGTTTCAGTGTTGTGGGCAATTGCCAGCCCTGCTTTCACCGTGCCTTCTCAAAAGGTGTTTTGGGGACAGTTGGTTTTCTGTGAGCAGCAACTCGGGACTGCTTATGGCGTCTAGGTGTATTTTAAATGCTCTGACCCGGTGGGGGCCTGTCCCCATCCTGGGGGTGATGGGCAGGGAAGTGCTGTCTGACATTGCGAGGCCACTGTCAAGGGAGTGCCATGCACATGGCTGAGGTGTCATGGGTGGCCTCTGCTCCTGCCCAGTCCCCCGCTGGCGGGACCCACTGCACACCCCTCCCAGCCCCCCTGAGTGTCTGAGGGAGGAATAGCTGCTCAGCAGAAATCAGAGAAGCAGGGGGCTCTGACATGGCCGATTTCATACCTGGACGGGGCTGTAGGGCTTGGCTGGGGCCCAGGCAGGGCCCTGCTGCCCCGCCGAGAACCCCAGGGCCTCTCACAGCCCTCCAGGGGCTCTCCTGGTCCTCACAGGACACTGTGGAAGGTGCTGTAGGGCCATTGCAAGGGCCTGGGGTGTAGAGCCCTTCCAGATGGACGGTGCTGCCCACAATGCCCCCGAAATCTGCCCACGCTGCCCCTTGCCCATGCAGGCAGTGGAGCCCTCCCAAGCCACGTCGGGGACCGATGGTGGTTCCGGTCTGCCACTCCCTATGCAGGGTGTTTCCTCCTCCCCGCAGACACCCCTCAGCTCTCACTAATCCTTGTAGATGACCCTCCTGTCCCTCAGCTGCCACGGGGGCAGATGCAGCCCTTCAGATCCCACTGGCCTGCCCGCCCCAGCAGCCCCCGTGTCCTCCTCTCCTCGGGCAAGGCTGAGCCCAGGGCGATCCTCTGCCAGCTGTGGAGAGCACAAGGTGGGACACAGACCCTCTCCCTGCGCCCAATGTTCTCCGGAGAGCGGGTCGGTGCCGCCGTGCAACCACCCACCTGAACACACCTGGGACAGACACTGAGTTTATCCAGGCCTGGGCACTCGGGGGACTTCTCCACAAATCAAGCACCCAACAGCAGGTTTTCATGCTCCTTTTATACACAAAAATCAGAGGTTAGTGCTTTTCCAAACACACCTGTTAGACACTGATTGGTTAGTGACTAACGTACAGTTATAACGCAGGTTACCTAATGCTGCTACCGCTGTGCCTGCTCAGGGGAAGGGGCTTCTTGACCTGTAGGCAGAATTTTTAGTATTAGGAGAGTAGTTCAGCAAAGGATACATGGGCCTTGAGTTTGCTTGCCCGTTGGCACTGTACCCTCTGCAAGCTGTGGGATGTCCTTGCTCAAAGCTGTGCTTGTCCTGGTGATGAGGGATGCCTGTGGCTTTAACATAACGAACATCTTTCTTGAATTAAGCATAATATTGCTACGTTGCTCTAAAAGTTTAATCTTCAACACAGGGCTGAGCCTTGCTGAACCCCCTGCTCTGTGCCTAGGCTTCTCACAGGGAACCTGCTGCAGTCAGGGAGGCAGCTGGCTCCCCCCCCTCCGCCAGGCACCTCTGGTCGGTCCCACCTGCTCCCGCAGACATGGCTGCGTGTCCCTCTGCTGCAGGACAGCAGCCTCCGGGGGGGCTGCACGAGGAGGCCAGAAGATGTGAACTTCAGGGCTGGGCTCACAGAAAACCTCACGGACAAGCTGTGCCTTAAGGAATATCCCCCATGGAAGTGGGAGTGTATGGAAGGATGCACACACACATCCACACCCCCCCCAACCTCCTTAGATAAACCTCAAAGGAGGAGACCTGGACTGAGTGAAACCCTGTTGTGATAATGAGTTGCTGATGACTAATGGGCCTTCCCCACTGCAGTAGTAACAAGAACTGATAGGTGATCATTTCTGGGTTGAATGGTAACATCTCTGGTAACAGAGGAAAAAACACAACTGGGCAATGACCCCGGCTCCACCTTTTTTCTCCTCTCTTATGGAAATAAATTTCCCCTCCTCATGCTAATCAGCTAATAAAATAAACTTTAAAAGGCAACAGAAACTTTAGACACAATTGGAGCCAGGGGTGATGATCCCAATTGCTTTGACCTTTCCCTTTCCCTTTCCCTTTCCCTTTCCCAGCCCTCTCCTTTTGTCTTTCCTTTCTTTCTTACAGATTTATAAAAAACCACATTGCTTATTATCCTTTTCCAAGTTTAAATTGTTCTCTACCACAATTAAAACATTTTAACAGGTCTTTTGCTGTGGTTTCACCTTAATTTAACCCAAGGAGATCACAGAACTGTTGTGATTCCCTGCACTCCCAGTGGGGTTGTGACACGCTCCAGAAAGTCGCGTCTCCTCTGGGTAAATCAGGGCAGTGACCCCTGAGCTCTGCTCCCAGCGAGTGCCTGACCCCCCAGATTTTCTCCACTCTCTGGGTGCTGGAGCTTGGTGAACCACTGCCCGTCAGCACCTCCAGCACGCGGGCTGGGGCTCCAGATCTGTAAGCACGCTTGCCTTGGCCCTTCTCACAGGCTGCTGCCTTCACCGCAGGCAGCCCTGGAGAAGCCTCGGGGTGTCCCTGGTCTTCCTTCTTCTCTTACCATCTTCCAGTCGTCGATGGTACCCCTACGAGGTGGGGAAGGGTGCATGGAGGCATCTCCTCCCCCCGCTGTGCTGCCCCACCAGGGACTGAGGGCACTCCAGGCCGGTGCAGCCCAAACCCCCTTCTGTCTGTCACAGCCCAGACTGGGACCCCGGGGAGTCACAACGGTTCTGTGATCCCCTCGGGTTAAATTAAGGTGAAATGACATTAAACGACCAGTTGAAATGTCTTACTTGGGGTAGGAAGAGCTTAAACTTGGGGAAGGATCTTAAGTGACGTGCTGTCACTGATAGATCTATAAGAAAGAAAAGAAAGAAGAGGAAGGGAGAAAAAGAGTCCTTAAAGGTTGTACCTTCAGAAGGTGGCACCTTTAAACTGGGAAGAAATGCAACAACAGTTGCTGCCAAGGTCCTCACAGGCTGGCGATGGGCTGCGCTGGGTTTCTAGGGGAAGTCTGTGAACGTGACTCCCTGGCTGTTGAGGACCGTTTTGATACCTCCGTCGACATGAGTGCCTACCTCATGGCCTTTCTTGTTTCAGATTTTAAATCAATCAGCAAAAGAACTGCTCACGGAGTTAAAGTAACTGGCTCATTTTCTAAGAGCTTTTTTGTATTTAAGTCTGTGTGAGTACATAATGGTTTACTCTTCAGCAGAAGCGTCAGATTTCTGTATCTTGACGTTTTGCAGGCATGAAAGGAGGACATTTGGTTTGTAATTGGATGATTAGTTTACATTCAGAGCTTTATTAGTTTCAAAAGTTTTTGGAAACGGGCTTGCTTTTTGTATAATTATACCCATTGGTACTATAGTTTTTTTCATGTAAGATTATACTTAACTGCATACATATATGATTATAAGGCAAATGAAATAGAATTTTCGTGGAGAATCATCACTAAAATACACCCACATCAGTTGAATGACTAACACGGTAGGGGTGGAAGGTGCAGAAATCTTTGTAAGGGCTTAGCGGTTCTGCTGGGTAGGTTTTAAAACTTGTCTTCCTAATTCTAATCGTATTTTTTGGCAAATATTTTGGTAACTCTTGTATGTGAAGTGTTAGGTGCGTGCTCTGGCGTCCTTTTTTATGGTCATTCAAGAACAACCTCCACAAGCCTTTGGGGCTGGGGTTGAAGCGCTGCCCTCTCCTCTGCTGTGGAGTACACTGTGCACAGACAGGATCAACCACGCTCATCCCGCGTGGGATGTGGCAGAGAAACTTTTACACTTCTGGGAGGATCAATTCAGCATTCCGTATCCTTCGCCTAAACAAGGTAAGTGTTCAACAACTGAACTTACTCGAGAGCATTGCTAAGCATAGAGCACACAAAATCGGTGATGTAGAGTATTAAGAGAGGGGCAAGTGTGGCTCATGGGCTTTTAAACCTGCTGCTTCAGAGAACTCAAGGACAGATTGAAAAGTTCCACTGGTCTTCTGTGTAGGTTTGGTTTTTTTTTAAAGTGTGTTTTTGCAATTACATTTAAGAGAGCTCTTAGAAGGGTGTGTGATACGTGTGCCATGTGTCATGAAGTGGGATGAGTGGGTGAGCAAGTTCTTTATTGAGTAAAACAATACAAGTGCTATTTTATTGTTTTCTTACAGATTTAGCAGCTCTTCCTGATTTTCAGTCTGGTGCTATGGAAAACTGGGGACTGACCGACCACATACCGGGAATCTGTGTTGTTGCATGACCCTGAAAAGCCTCCAGCATTTTTATTTCAACTATTAATGCGGGTTCATACAGGTGAGAAGCAGCTTATATGATAAATTGTGTATTAATATCAGAAACGGGCTTTTTTTGCCTTTTTTTCCCCTTTTTCCCCCCAGTGGTTTGGCAGCCGCATTACCATGGAGTGGGGGAATGATCAGTGGTTAAATTAAGGGTTTGAAAAGTTTATGGAGTTCATGTCAGTCAGCGTTACCCATCCAGAACTGAGAGCTGTAAGCAGCAGCAACTGTATTTTAATTTTGTAACTGCCTTCTAAATCCACTAATTAGTAAGGGTAAAGCCAAGACAGATTTGTGGTATGAACCACTTTTAAATTTCTGTTTGAGAGGAATTATCTGATGTTAACTCTGAAGGGGAGGAATGTTGATTTAACTATATGTAAATATTTTTTCAGGAACTTATGATGGAACTTAATGATTGCAGTGAAAGTGTATTCTTTTTTTTAAAGGCATTTAGAGTTCCAGAAATGTAAAGAAATTTTTTTATCTTATTTCATCAAATAGGGTCAGATTTGAAAACACTAAAATCCTTCCACAAGCTTTAGCATAGGTCCAATATATGAAATTTTTTACCAGAGTGAGATGAATAATGCATCTGGGCAGAATTTTGCCACAGTACTACAGTGGCATGATAATAGGGAAATACAGCATTTTAATTCTCTTTAAAAAAAACTGTTGTGGTTACTGACTGTCATCAAACCACTGAGATGTGCAGGTGTCTTTTTGGAGTTATTTTTAAGTCTCACTAGCTCGACTATTTAGCATCATTGAGCCACAGAATCACAGGGCAGTTTGGGCTGGAAGGAACCTTTCAAGGCCATCTAGTCAGGGATATCTTCATCTACGTCAACTATTTAACTTAGTTTAGAATATTAGAACTCATTTGGCTGTCTGTATTACTGTTTGGGGTTTTTTTATGCTCTGCAGTAAAAAGAAAGGTAGGTTTTGCTTTCTTGCTATGATTTAAAGATCGTGTGGAATGGAAAAGTGAATGAATAAGGATTTGTCATCACTGAGCAGAATTTAGTAGTAATATTTGGGTATGGCTCCTCTCAGGAGGACTATTTCTTAAGGAAATGTTTTGATTCCAAGGCAGTGGACGCATTAAATTCATCACAACCTTTATCTACTGCTGTGAAAGATCTGGCTCAAATTTTAGAAATGTTTAATAATATTTCTCATGAGAAGGTAAAACACGTGACTGCTGTTGAATTCAGTTGTTTTGCTTGTACTACACAATCGTGCTTTGCTGATTTCACCCCTACACATGATGTTCCTGACACGTTGTTCATGGTCCTGTGACTTCTGTGTCCAAAACAACTGCAGTTGCCTTTTCCATTTCTAAAATGAGGAAGCCTTTACTTCTGTCTGTATCAATTTAGTCTTAAGCCACTCTGTGGGGTTCTTAACCCAAGGAGTGTCTTTCACAGGAGCTTTAGATGGTGCTGGCTTGTATAGTAATCAAAAAAAATAATAATGTCACTTACTTAATCATGATATTTTAAAGAGTAAAGGTCACAAAAAAAGTACTGTTTCAATGTACATAAACCATAATTATTTAAAAATCAGAAATGAACTGCTATGTAGATGAGTGGTGTGAAATTTTTCTGACAAAGCATCTTGCCAGCTAAGGAGTAGTTTTGTGAAGTCTTTGTTGCTCTTTTTTTCAGGGATCTTGTATATTAGATATGTGGAGGGACTGACTGACTGCTGATGTGTTTAAAGCTGGGCTTGTCCAGTACCTGCAGAAATACAGCTCTCAGAATACAAGAAATTAAGGTCTGTGGAACAGCATGACAAAGGCGAGTATTCCTTATTCTATTTTTTTCCAGATTTTTCAACTTCTCATAAACAATTACAGAAACTCGTAACCTGTTACTGAAGGCTGTGACTAGTACTTATGATTAGGACATTAAAGAGAGAGGACAGAAACATTTTTTTCCTTTCAGATTTGCCTTACAGTAGGTACTGAAAAAAATGAACTTTTGCAGAAGCCACCAGTCACCTCCAAATGCAGTAAACATCATTTTTTTCATCCGTCAGGATTGAGGTGTTTGACAGGTACCTGTGCCCTCTCACGCTGCCCTTCCCTGCCTTGAAATGTGCCCCTGCCAGGCCTGTTCTTTGGTGCTTGAGCACGGTTCTGGGAGAGCGTAAGGTTCTCCAGTTCCACTGGAAATCTTGGGTTTTTTTCTGAGATTGGACAGAAATCCTACTCCTGTGCCCAGGGCTGTCTGAAAACAGCAGTACTTCAAGAGATGTCATTAAATAAATTAAAATCTCCACAAGAAAACCAGCTGATAGCTGTGTGGAGCTGATGAACAGCCAGCAGCCTCCCCGCTGCCCTTCCCCGCCCATTTCGCTGCCGCTATGCTCCCACCTTCCTGCATCCGTGGGTGCAGTCCAGTGCTGGATTAGAGATGTGATGGGAGGGGGTGACGGGCACTTGGGCACTGCAGGAAGGTTTTCCCTGGTGACCGTCCACCTGCAGCGGGAGCGCTGCGTGCCGGCAGCGGGTTCTCCTTCCTCCCCAGGGTGAAGGCAGCAGGGAAATCTCGGTGCACAGACCAAAACACTGACCAAAATACTCCCCCGTGGGAAACTGACATAGGACGAGAGCTTGTGCAGAACGCTCCCTGAGCTCTCTGTGTGTCAGTACTTCCCTGTGTAGGCCAGAGCTGTAGTACTCGCTGGTGGTGGTGGACCCGGCGTGCCAGTGGCTGCAGAGCTGCTTCCAACCCCAAGTCCCACGATTTTATGACAAGGCTTGACAGAGTTAATACAGTCAGGGGAAGTGCCTGCACCTTTTTCATTTCTGTCTTTTGGTGCCAGGAGTCAACACGCTCAGCATATGCTGTAGCACATCAGGACAAAACACAATGGACCAGCTAGTCACACATCTTATCTCTGCTGGACAGGCACTTCTTGATTTCCCTTTGTGGTAACTTGGGTTATAGGTACATACGCTGTACATTTCTTACAAAAATTTGAGGTTTCTTGCTTTTAAGAGAGCTGAGCACCACAGAGGTTTTCAGGCATTAGCTTCAAACCCTGCATTTCAGGCACCTGGTTTCTGCCTGGGGGAGGTGGCAGCATGGAACACCAATTCAGCTGTATTCAGATATCACTGGAGACATATTTTAGCTGTTTTGTAACATTTTTATTTACTCTTTGCATTGCTCTGCTGTTTGGACACCTCCATCATGAGCAGCACTTGCTGGCCTGTATTTTGCACCAAGACAGTATAGAAAAAACACCTTCCTCAAAGCGGGAGGAGAAAGGTTCATATTAATGTGGAAATTCTGAGTAGGAGCAAAATGTAGCCTTGTTTTTATCCTTTTTACTGAGGGTACGGGTCTACCAAGGAACTGTAATTGTGAAAGTAACAGAAATGGGGACAATGGATGCAGCCAGGGAGCAGCTGGAAGTAACCCAGCAAAAATGATGTGTCAGGATGTTCAGAAATGTGAACTCTCAACCACAGAACCACTAAGGGAACAGTGATTTGTCACCTTTATCTACCGGTCCAAACAGCTTCCATTTCTGTTATTGGTTCTTAGGTTAACGGACCAAGGTCTGCGAGGTGACATCGTAACTCAGGATCTTCCATGTATTATTGTGTTTGCTGCCAAAAATCTGTCGTGCTCTTGTCCTAGCTTGGATGTTTTTAAAAGAAAATTGGGAGAAGGTTGCAGGAGTGTAAGGAACATAAGTCGTTTTACTGCTCTCTCTACCCAACTGCACTTTCAAACTCTAGTTTCTACAAAACCAGTCGTTTTCTGAGTGTCGGTGATTTTTTTTTTTTCCTGATTGGAATTCTGTTTGAATCCCATAGCAGGCATCGTCACTGGGGTCACAGGTCGGCACGCGACAAGGTCACAGCTGGCACAGGTAAGCTGTCAGGGTTCTGGTTTTGAAAAACAGTCGTGGTATAACTGAAATGAAAATCTGGATTAAATCGTAGGATGGTAAATGCGTGACCGGTTATGGACCATCCGGGTCACAGCCTCTGCCACTGCCTTGAAAAGAGATGACTGTGGTGATGAGTTCGGTTAATGCTCAGGGGGGAGCATTAAGTTGGTGGCACAGAGAAAGTCGTTCTTTGTTGAAGCAGCGGGCTCAGATGCAGAGAATGAACCTTCACCTGCCAAACTGTTCATGGTTTACCTGCCTCTATTAACATTTTCTACCCGCTCTGGAAAGTAGTGAGGAAGAAAAGATAAAATAGGTGTTTTCACTGAGCAGACAGAAAAAAAACTGAAGTGAGGAGCACAGCACTGTCCTACATCTTCTATTCCGGGGAAGATTCTCCATGTGAATCATTTTGTCTCTTTACTCCAAAACCTTTGTTGGTGGTAAAAAACCCAGAGTGGTCAAGGTGTGGATTCAGTGGCACCCCCAACAATTTCTTTTCAGGTTTTGTTGCCACTTTAAGCAAGGGTTTTTTTGCTTTAGGGTAAAACACAGCCACAAGGAATGCAGCGTATTGAATATAAAATGAGGGCCTAGCAGGGCGTTGCTTTCTGCTTAGTACTTAGTCTTCAGTTTAAGGGGTCTCTGTAAGGCCGAGAGAGAAAATCCAGCAACTCCCTCGTCTCCTGTTTGTGTCTTTCTTGCACTTTGTACAAGTATTTGCATCTCGTGTCACACTCATCCAGGTAAACCATCAGAAAATGGCACGTTTAATTCGTACACACATACAGTCGCTGTGTCTTTGGAAAGTATCTGCCTGCCATCAACACCAACTCAAGGCTGAGGTTAAGTTTCCACGATGAGCCCAGTGCTTAGGAATACCTCCTTTAAAGAAAAAAAAATTAAAAAATAAGTGAGGAAGGCAGCTGCAGCAGTGCAGGGAATGCAGCGAATTGACAGAGCAGGAGCAGCCTCCAGATTCCCAGCGGCTGCGTTCCCAAGCACATCAGGGAAGATGCCAACAGCTTCTTTCATGTTTTTTGTCAACGGGTGAAAGAATCCATCAGTTCTCTGGAGGAAAAAAAGCGCCCGGCTGTGCTGTGTCCAGCAACCTACTGATAACAATATGCAATGGATGGGGGGAAACATTGAGAAAGCTGAAGCACAGCTGCGAAACAACCATCTGTAAATGAAGGCACCTTGCTCGTATTTGCTGGAAATAGCACTGAAAAGCTGTGAAAATTCAGGGCTGGAGGGGACACTCAAGTGTATGATCTGTTTCTGTGGAAGGAGCTGTAAGGCCGCCCAATGCTGCCCCTGCTCAGTATTTTTCTCCATGACGTTTTGTTGTAATGTCAGACGCGTTCCTCAGCCCAACACCATGCAATTAAACAACCCCCCCGGCAGGACTGTAATTAAGACGGCCTCTGTCAAAGTCACGACGAGGAGGGCTGTGTCTACACATGCTCTATCCTGGTCGCTTCTGCCCCCTCGGCACCAGCCTGGCCCGGGAGCTCGGCCGCACCGAGCCCTGGTCCGCCCTGAGGAACTGGAGGGGCTGAAGCCTCCAACATCTGTTGCCAGGAAAAGCCTCAAGGATGAAGGGTGGCCTTTGGGATTAGTACAAGGAAGAAATTCTCTGCCGTGGGAGGCGCAGGGCGGATTGAAGGGCGAGGGAGTGGAGCCACCACCTCCCCAGAGAAGCCTCGAAGGGGGAAGACAGAGACTGAGCAAAACCAAACCTCTGGGGTAAGACCCACAGATTAATTCACAACTGCAGCCTCGAAGAAGAGCTGGGGGACTGATAAGAGGGAGAGAACCGACAGCAGCTACAGCTCTAATTGCCCAGAAACAAAACCCGAGATGGCACCCACCAACTCAACTGGGCTGGAGGGTGAATGCGCCCCGGCCCCCGTCACGGACACGGGCTGGTGGAACCACCCCCTCCTCATCCCGTACGCAAATCAGCTGGTAAAATGAACTTAAAAGGCAACCAGCAGCGTTGCTGGGGTGGGGATCTGCATTCTTTGACTCTTTTCCCCCCCTTCTTCTTTCCTTTCCTTCTTACAGATCTATCAACAGGAGAACACGTTACCTTAAGAGTTTAAGCTCGTCCTACCCCAAGTAAAATATTTCAACTGGTCCTTTGGTGTTACTTCACCTTAATTTAACCTGAGGGGATCACAGAACTGGGCTCCCACTCCAGGTTGTGACTGACAAGTATTCTCCAGATTTTTTAAACACGTCATATTCAGTTTTAATATGCCTGATATGTTTGGGGCTTTTAAATAATTTCTGGGGTTTCCTTTGTCTGACAACAGCTGTTGGAGCTGTTGTGACTGATAAGTTAGGAACATCGTCGTGCATGCTTAAAAACTTTATTAGTGTGACACAGGTTTTCAGTACAGACTGCGGAGTACAGTCAAAAGTCTAAATATCCCCAACTGAAATCTCCGGGCTGTCTCTGTCTGCAAGGCCACACGCTCCAGGCAGGTACAAGCGTTGGTGTGACCTCCGTCTGCAAGCTGCTGGCGAAGCCAGGCCCGTGCCAGGACGTGCAAAAGGATGTTCTGCGGGTTACAGAGGCGGAGGGAAAGGCAGGGAGGCCCTCGGGAGGCCTGGTCTGTCCCGGGCAGAGCAGGCGGATGCAACGTTGCTCCTGGCGGCGCCAGGGACAGGCGCAGGGGCTGGGAACTTCGAGTGCAAACTATAAGGAAAGAGTCCGCCTGTGGGCCTGAACTCCTCGGGCATCCCTGCTAAGGCTTGCGCTCCTTCACCTCCTCTTCTGTGACGGTAACGGTGTCACAGTGACATTAGGATTGGGATTTGTTCAGTCCAGGAGACTCCTGAAATTACGAGGTAACAGTACAGGTACGATTGGAAATTAAAAAAAAGTAAAATCCTTATCTGGTGTATTTTGGTTGTTTTAACTACAGTTAAGGCAGCATCCAAAACACCTGTTCTATTACTAAATGCGCCTGACGAAGCAGTTCATCCCCAGTTTTTCATTCTTTAGCTGCTCACAGCATATCTGTGGCTTCCTCCCAGGAACTGGCTCGAGGAAAGACTGCACAGCCAGGCTGAGGAGAGCTGAAGAGAACTAAAGCTCATTATCTTCCAGAACACTTAATGCATTCACTGCAATGTCAAAAATGCGAGCACATACATATTCTTCTGAGATTTACAGGCACTCTGTGGAGATTATGTGCAAAAGTCTGCAGATTTTTTTTTTTTTTTTTTGGCATTGCTATTCAGTTATGAAATATATTTCTTGCAAATATAAAGCATTCTTTCCCTCTGAAAACTGAAGAAAATTAGAAAAAAGTCGGAAGTACATGAATATAATAAAATGAATGGCTAGGAGAAAAAAACCCAAACACCTTAGCCTACTACTGGAAAAAAGGGAAGAGGAAAAACGTCCAGCAAGTATCACTCTACAAAAACCACCCAGAATAACCACATGCGTTTGGTATCAGCTCTTGTTCTTCAGGAATAATTATCCACCAATAGAAAGAAGATGTTCTACATGATGTGCCAAGATCCTGCAGGGAAGAAAAAGAAAAAAAAAAGTTAGCTTTTACCTTCTTCAGCTTAGAAAAAAAAAAAAAAGAAATGCAGGAAGGCTCCATGTCCGAGGCCAGCTGCCAGACCCCCCTGGGTCAAGCATCCATGTGTAGTTGCCTCCGTGAGCGATTCCAGCCACTTAACTCTTATGTTAAGGGTGTGATCTCCAATTAATCTCAGCACAAAGAACACGGGGACGGTGGCCCACAGACACAGAACAAAGGGGTTTGTGTTTGACCTACGCTCACTGTCCTTTTCATCTGAAAAACCACCGCTTGAGATCTGCCTGGGCTTCATTAATCTGCTGAAAGGTCTTACTAGGGAGGCTGTAAGTCAGGCCCTGGAATCCTTAGTTACAGCAACCCAAGAGAATCTGGCTACATGAAGTAATTAACAAAGTGTACAGAAAAAAAAAAAAAGGCCTTTTCTGCCTAGGAACACTGAAGTTCAAAGACATTCCTCGAGTTTTGCCTAATAGCATCTCTAACCATGTCTTGGCTCAGTCAAGAGAACGTCAACCCAATTTAGCTTTCAAACCACGAGCGTCAGTCGTCTTCGTGGCAGTTCGGAGAACAGGGAGGGAGACATCTCACCCAACAACGTCAGCGTTTAGCCTGTTTTCTGCTTCTCAGATTTCTTGCTGGAGGACTCTCCCTTTGCCTACGGAGCAAGAAAAGAAGCATGAGATGGTAAGAAACTCTGAACTCCGCTAAAACACGGAATAAAACAGTGACATCAGAAGTCACAGGTCAGACATGAACATGATCCACGCTTGAAACACAAAGTTTAGAAACAGTATTTATAATTTCTGTGGTGTATATATTTTCATTTTTCCATCACTTTGTTTCGGATAAAGAGGGCTGTGGCTGACCTCTTCACATCCCACTTCCCAACGTCCTCTTACCCATTCCAGTGATCCAGTCACAACTCCAACATTAAAAAATACAGCCTTCCGAGGAGGAGTTAGACACCCCTTTTTTACATCAAAAACTGTAAGACAGTTTTGCTGTTCCGCAAAAGGCGCCTGTGGCAATTTCATCATAAAGAAAAATCCCATCGCTTGGAACGTGAAACCCAACGTTTCCAGAACACATTACCACCTGACTCAGGCATCGCCCTGCACGTAACCTGCGAGAGAACAACGTGATGGGAAACACTTCACCCTGACCTAAATCCGTTTTCTGTAGTTCTGGATGGCAAAAGCCACAGCAGCATTTTTTCTTGTTGCCTTTTTAAAGTACAGAAGCAACTGCCTTCCTTTTCCCACCATGTATGTTTTCATTCATTTTTAAAAAAATATATTATGTTCATAACTTACAAATGGACGTGTGTGGTTGAAGGAGCACCTTCTCACCACCGTCAGAATGCTGTGGTTTAAAACTGCCAAGAAAAGAGAAATGATGGGGAATCCCGTGGCAGCTGTAGGCACATGGAGGGTGACTCCAAGATCAGCGAACGCCTCTGGAGCAGGCACTGAGCCACACAGGCAGGGCCACGCTCATGTACTTGAGCTCTGTTTATTACAAATTTCCCTTGGAAGACTCTGCTTTTCTCCTATGTTTATGCTCACAAAACTGGATCAAGTTCAACCTTTTGATGTAAAATTCTCCCCAGAGGAGTATCTGTGTAGGATGAGCCCCAAATGCTCCTGCCCATCCTTCCTGTTTATTGTTTGTGGTACCCACGACTGACTGTATCTATTAGAATATGTATGTTTATACCGTTTTAGGGTTTTTGCGTTTTCCTTTATCCTTTGGGGTTGGTTTAGTGGTGATGGTTTCCTTTCCGCTTTTGTCCTACACTCCAAAGAAAAAAACATAATTACAGTTACAAACAGAAGAGGGAACGGGTGTCTCCGCTGGCGTCAGCCGTGACAGCGACTGTAAACGCGGCTGTGAGGCAGGAGAGGCCCAAAGGCTGCAGCTTGATCCTGGGGGGACCCGTGTTCCGGGGAGCACACAAGGGCAGGTTCTGCATTTATGAAAAAGCAATAACTCTGCAGCAGAAGATTTAGCTCCAAAGTTGGTAACCAAGTAACAGCCCTTAGAACACCGACGGTCTGTGTTAAGGTGCCGAGGGCTAGGTGTCACGGGAAGGCCCTGGGGGAGCACTGCCGTGCTCAGAAGCACCGCTGGGAAACAGCTGTTTCCCCCTCAGGAATAACTACACCTGGTCTGAACTTCACTCTCAAAACTGCTGCTTCTCTGCCCCGCAGGAGACAAACAGCATAAAAGCTCCCATTACCATCATCAACATTTTAAGTACAAACTCGCAATGCTCTCTTGGTTGTAGTAGAAGCTTAAGGAATGCAGAATTTCACTCGGGATCTGGTTACGGTTCCACAGCTATGTCCAACCATGGGATGCTAATATATGGTTTGGTCAAAGACTGCAAATTCAAGCTTTCTTTCTTCAGCTCTCCCTGCAGGAAGCAGGGAACAGCAGGGACGGGCTGGCAGGAGCCAGCAGAGACGAGAGACAATGGCCGCTGCGTTACCTGGATGGTGCAAAGACCAGCTGCCACTCCCAAACCACGTACCACTGCCCCGGCCTGCAGGTGGGGACCAGGGCACAGCACGGAGCCACAGAGGCACAGACTGGTTTGGGTTGGGAGGGACATTAAACCCACCCAGTCCCACCTCCCTGCCATGGCAGGGCCACCTTCCCCCAGCCCAGGGTGCCCAAAGCCCCGTCCAGCCCGGCCTTGAGCCCTTCCAGGGAGGGGGCAGCCACAGCTGCTCTGGGCAGCCTGTGCCAGGGCCTCAGCACCTCACAGGGAAGGATTTCTGCCTTACAGCTAATCTGTATCTGCCCTCTTTCAATTTAAACTGTTCCCCTCGTCCTATCCCTCCCCCTGATGACAAGTCGTGTCCCCCCCCTCTTTCCCGCAGCCCCTTTCAGCCCTGGGGGGCCGCTCTAAGGTCTCCCCGCAGCCTTCTCTCCTCCAGTTGAACCCCCCAACTCTCCCAGCCTGTCCTCACAGGGGGGCTCCAGCCCCCCCAGCATCTCCGTGGCCTCCTCTGGCCCCGCTCCAGCAGGTCCGTGTCCTTCTGCTGTTGGTGCCCCAGAGCTGGACCCAGCCCTGCAGGGGGGTCTCCCAGAGCGGAGCAGAGGGGACAATCCCCCCCCGGCCCTGTGCCCCCCCTGCTCTGGGTGCAGCCCAGCACACGGGGCCTTTCTGGGCTGCCAGCACACGGTGCTGGCTCGCAGGCAGTTTGCACCCCCCGAGTCCTTCTCCTGGGGGCTGCTCTCCAGCCCCTCCTCGCCCAGCTTGGGTTTGTGCTGGGGATCACCCTGACGACCTTGCACATGAGTTTAGTTAACAGCAAGTCTCCTTTCCCTTAGCACACACTAGAGGGTAAGAGAGCAAACGGCAAACAAGAGGGACTGACGGGTTCTAACCCTTAACTGGTTCTGTGAGCACTTGCAGAAACCAAAAGGAGCCCACGATTTCCCCACCGATACCCCACCGGCTGCCCCAGAGCTCGCTGGGCTCATCTGCCAAGGGCACTGTGGTGGGTGGGTGTCTCAAAGCCACACAAGACTCCTCTTGCTGTCCAAGCTCAAGGTCACAAACGCCAGGTGACGAGCAAGGAGAGACCACGGCTGAGGGTGATTCTGTTGTGTGTTCCAGATCTCAGTCCTCTTCTTCACGCTCTTCCAGCACAACCATCCTTTCTCAAACACTATCATGTGCAACGCTTCGCTGGGAAAGGTCTGGCCGCTGTTTGCCAGCTGTGTTTAAGAAGCTTGTATGACAAACAAACGCTCTGTTTCTCATTACAAGACCCCTCCAGTCCATTCCTCCTTCACCTCCGTCAGCTCTACTGTTTTCCATAACACATCTAAAACTCGTTTCTGCTCTTCACATTTCTCTCTGCAAAACCCTCCTGGGCTGTTTCTCCGTTCCAGCCTACAACTGTCACTAGTGCTGCAGTGCAGCAATCACTGAAGAAAGATTTCTCTGACTCCACCTTTTTCGGACACACTAATCTGTACAAGAACTGCTAGCACAATTCTCTGCTCAACTTACTTCTCCAAGCCTGTCTTACCCCTCTAGAAGACTAAATACAACAAACCTTCCTTCTTCCAAATGTTTAACACACAGCAAGACACATCAGACTTCCACTGTAAGAATCTCACTACAGCCGGACAGCGCCTTACAAAGATGCTCTAAACTGAGCTACCACAAAGAAAACTTGAGGAGCTTTCATGGAGTGGTGAAAAAATATTTTGCAGGTTATTAGCAGAAAATGTCCTACCTTTGAGTGCTGTGGTGTGGCGGGAGCCTTGGCACAAGTGTCGAAGTCACCTGATAGGGCATCAATAGCTGCAGAGTCATCTGTAGGCTGCTGCAATAATTTTAATTCCAAAGTCACACAATATTCAGTACTTCCCACAGTCAAATTAACGTTTCAGGAATTTCTGTCTGCTTTAATTATCCCTTTCCTAGCAAAACCCACAAGCCTGAGCTCTACACATGTGTTAGAACAGGGATGTCCATCCGAGGTTTCCAAGATAACACAGTTTCTTTGACTACTGGACCTGAACGTTAGCAGCGTCGTTGTGCATAAAACCTGTATTGATGGTGAAGAGTTAACTCTTCACAGAAGTCTTACTGCCCACACTCTCACCTACTGCCTCCAGCAGCATTTATGAGGATTTGAGATGCATCACACCTTGAGCCTACGACAACAGTACTTCAGAAGAAAAGTCCGAGCCCACAGCGTGAAACAAACAGAAATGGTGTAAATGTTACCTTTTCTCCTTTGCGTTTCGCATCATCCTTTGCTGCTGGCTCTGCTGGTTTACCCTTGGGAAGAAGAAAGATCACATCCTCATGTTGAACGGGTCACGTTATTTTTTCAAGACGAGTACTTCCGTGTGACACCACGAGTTTACAGATTTCCAACAAAGCTGCACCATTCTCAACTGATCTATTTCCTTTCCCACGCTGGGTATGCAAAGCCAGGTCACGATGTGCTTTCAGGGTTTGCTACTCTGACTGTGTCTGCAATATCATCTTTCTGTCCTTGTAGTCTAATGGACAAACAGTCTCCTGACCCAGAGAAGATCAAATCCCGGTCAGAGCAGTCCCGTGCCCCGGCCAACGGCAGTTCTGCAGGGTTCAGGCACACCACCAAGGTCATGCCTGTACAGACACTCTGTCCCCAAACCTGGCACAGAACTACTGGTGATCAATAGGGATTACTGCCCGCAGCGTGCAACCATCTCCTGTTTCAAAGCAGTATAAAACCAAGCTGTTAAAAAAACACCCTGTTTTTTTCCCCTGGTTTTCTGGAGCTCCCAAACCACTGAGCCAGGCCAGTGTTAACTGGAATCGATACTCCTACATCTCCAGGACACTGACTGCTACTGGCTGCTTCAAACTCACTTATTTGTCCAAGATGCCCAATTAAAAAAAAACAAAAACAAAAAACAAAAAAACAAAACCGCAGCTGAACAATCAGCTCTTCCTCTGCAGTTACAATGTGGGGCAACAGTTGGGGAAAAGCTATAAAAAAGTATTTAGACCTATGGAAAACACAGTTTCAAGCAGGGGTTATGGAATGTACTTCAATGGTTTTCTTTTGTTACACATAAGCCCAACTGACCTAATGGGAACAGTTCTATGAAAAGCTTGGGTTTTGGTAATTGCCATTCATTTTGCCAACATCATTATCACTGCAGATTAATTTGTTTGTTTTTTGAATTAAATGCATGCAAGGATATACAAAGCTACTCTAAATAAAAGATATTTACATGTTTAACCCTAATACAGAACTACAGTACAAACGCTTATTTGTTCAGCTTCCCTTTCTGGTGGTGCAAAAAAACCCCAAAACTAACAAAGCTTTTCCTTACCTGTTCCCCTGACTCCAGAAGTTTTTGATAGTCAGGTGGGATAGTATCATCTCTTTCTCCAAGTTTGTCTCTGTGTTCAGATTTAGCCTTTTCCTGAAAGCATGTAATTTTTTAACAGCTTTAACACTTATGTTAGACATACTAGCCAACAGTAAGTCAGAGCGCTCATTAAATCTGGGACAGATGCCTTTTATGAATTTAAAATTTTAAAACTACCAGAAAAAAAAACATGGATTTGTTTCACTGTGAAGTGTGTTTCAGGCCTGAAAGTTTTAAAATTACTAGCTCTCGATAAGTACACACATTTAATAAATTAAGCATCTGTAGGCACGGCAGCATCACAACACCAAAAAAAAAAGTTTTGTCAACTTCCAGTTCTGGTTTTCGACAGTGCGACTGGGAGCCCCTGCCTCAAGTCTCACCCAGGTTTAACACAAACCTGGAGTTCCTGCCGCGTCCCACCCGTGAAGGGACCCGAGCGCCTGCAGCAGGACTCAGGCACCCGCCCCCCACAGCCAGGCTGCCCCGAGCAGCGAACGCGTCTCCTCAGCCCTCGCAGCCAGGGTCAGTCTCTGACCCAGCACGGCTCCTGAGAACTGCACTGGGGGGAGTGTTCCTCCCAGAGTGTGTCTTTTCCCAGTTACGCTGCTCTGAGTTCTGGCAAACCAGAAACACGCCAAACAAAACAGCTGGCTTAGAGACAAGCAGGGTTTTAACCTATTGTTAAAAACTATTTTTGTATTTGTTAACACTGACTTTTACGGATCTCCTTTTTTTTTTTTATGTCTTCCTTTTGGAATATAAGCTGTTTCCATGCCTTTGTGAAGAGCAACACACGAAGGAAGTTGTGCTCCTACAGCTGCCCTGAGGCAGGGGGGCGTTGCTGAGACCTCGCACATCCTCACTCCCTTGCTGTGGCAGGGGACACCCGCACCCAGACGGCACAAACCTGCTCCTGCGGCAGCCACCAACCTCCGCACCGAGCCCGGCCTGAGATTAAAAATCTCCTTCCTAAATTGATTCATGGGCACCTTATGGTGGTTTATTTTCTCCAGTAATGTCCCTTATCTTAGGTATTTCAGTTTACAGTTTATTATTACTACTGCTGTTTTGCAGAAATGAGTCTAATTTTCTTATGAGCAGAAAGGTCTTCAGACAACTATATGAAGAAAGGCAAAACAAGCAGAAACAAGCATGGAATAATGACAATAACAGGTACTGAAATAAAATTGCAAATTTCCTGTAATATTTCAACAGTTATCTCGAAGTGGCTAAAGTAGAGTAACTAATCCAACATTTTTCACAAAACACACAAGAAATCCCGCTGACTGAAGAGTGGTTGATAAACCTGCGTGTAGCACAACATCAGAATATCTGGTTTTTTCCTAGCAACCTTACTCCTACATTCGAAAATCACCTGCCATATACTCCTATGAGCTTGCAAGTAGTACTGCAGTACACCATTTTAGAAAAAATAATCTTGAAAAAGTAATTTATCTCAGATTTCGAGGGTTTTTTCTTGGTTTGTTTCTGTGGTTTGTTTTTTTTTTTTTTCCGCAGACTGCACATGTTCCAGAATGTTTTTTGTTACCTTTACTTTATCCACAACTGGTTTGTTCTCATCAGGGTCCGGTTCCCTCTCTCCCAAGGAATCGGACAGGAGATCCAAGGCTTCATCCATCTCCTTTCCCCCCTGACAAAGTATAAACACACTCGTGAAAGCAATTTTGCTGTAAAAATAATTTAATTCATCGAGATAATTTGAGACTGACTAATGAACTGTCAACTTTAGCAAACAATGAACAATCAGCTCTTCCTCTGCAGTTACAATGTAGTGCAATAGCTGGGGAAAAAGCTATTAAAAAGAATATTTAGAAAACACAATTTCAAGTGGGGGTTACGGAATATATTTTAATGGCTTTCTTTTGTTACACATAAGCCTAACTGATCTAATGAGAACAGTTCTATGAAAAGCTTGGGTTTTGGTAATTACCATTCATTTTGCCAGCATCATTATCACTGCAGATTAGCTGCTAAGGAAGCGTCAATCTGAATTAAAACGTATTAACATTTTTACTCTCACAGTATGTACGGTCTTTTGCTAACTCACACCAGTTTTACCCAAGCACTGGTTCGGAAAAAAAAAAAAAAAAAAAAAAAAAAAAAAAAAAAAGCCCTTAAAACCAGCTCAAAGCCAGGTGGGAGCGGGTTTACAGTCGCCTTTCAAACCAGGCTGGAAACACTAGAGGGAGCTCCCCCTGCACAGATCGACATGGAGACGGCGTGAGCCAGGCAGCATCCCTGCTCCTCCTCCGGGTACCAAAAGGAGGTCAGGGCCTGCCTGACCCCCGTTCACCCGATCTCCTTCGCCACTACGGTAGTGACCACGGTGCTTTTATTCTGAATGGTCCCACCACCTTGGCAGGAAAAAGAAAGGTGTGGGTCGGCCAAAGGCTCAAGCCCAGAATTAAAACCACCTGCACAGGCAACTCCCCACACGGACGGAAGGGAGGAAACGCACCCGCCCGCTGACACTCCTGAGAGCCCAGCCCGAGCCCAGGACTGCGGAGGGTCCTTACCGAGGGAGCCGCTGGAGGAGCTGCCGACTGCACTGAAGAAACTGCAGCAGCAGAGATAACGTCCGAGGAACCCGCGGGCTTGTCACCCTTCTTGGTCTTCTGAAACAAGACACAGCATCGTTACTAAGGGAAAAGCGTGCATCAAATTCCACGCGTCTGACAGGTGATGCCTGTACAGCTTATTTCCAGGACTTGGTCATTCTCAGAAGCTCTACTTACGTCAGACTGAAGCCCCTCCCTAAGGAGCACTCTGCAGCCGCCCCGCGTCTCAGTTTGTTCACGTGCACCCTCCTGCCTCAGGTTAAACCCAGCTTAGGTCAGAGGCAGGTTTAATGTGACTTCAGAGGAGCTTAGATTGCACCAAGCCCATCTAGAGTCCCAGGTAACACTTTTAAAACACTCAACTGCAAAGCATTACTTATGCAAGCAACTGGTAAAAAGACAATTAACATACCTAGTTTTTTTCTTATTATTAAAGTCCTGCCCTCCTACTGAATTATTGCAAAAAATATTTTAACTACTGAATTTTATTGAGTTACTGGATTTTATTTTGCAAAGTTCACATAAACCTTCTTTTTTTATTAAGTTTCTTAATTTTATTGAGTTACTGCATTTTATTTAAGAAAGTTTACATAAACATTAAGGGAAAGAAGTAAAATATCCAGATTATTGAGATAATTTGAAAATAAACCAGATTTTCAGAAATCAAATATACTCACCTTTTTGACAGCTGGCGTAGGCAATGGTGCTGACTGCGATGGAGAAGAGGAGAATCCTTCTGTCAAACCCTCTAAAAGTTCATTTTCACTCATGGGCTATCATTAAAAAGAAAGGAAAAAATCTTTCAGGTCTTTTCCTCTATTAAGAAGTCAGCAGGTAACACAGTCTAACTCCGTCTTTAAACTGAAGACTGGGAAACCTTACTGACATTTGGGTAAGCAAATCACAAATGAAACATTTATCTGAATAGTCACTTTTTTACCTGGGATTTTTCTTCTGGTTTTGCTAGGAGTTTTCCATCTTTATCCTACAAAAGAAAAATCCCCTTATATTAAACGAAGCAGCCCCTAAACGGCCACAGAACACAGGAACTCTGAGAGCATCCGCTGGAGGACAGAGCATTCCCCGAGACGAGGATCCAACTCGTCACCTCCAGCACGTCACTCCAAGTGTCACTGAAAAAACCCAGGTCCTGTGACTGACAAACACCGAGGGCTGAAAAGCCATTCAGTGTGAGGTTCTGAGCTTCTCTACTTTGTGTTTCAATTTCCACGGAAACGGCACAGTTCATAGAGAAAATCCCAATTTCCAGGCTGGTGACGCTGCCCTGACCAGGGCCTGGAGCAGCTGAAGCTTCTCACAGCAGCACTGGAGTTGGGCGAATCTTGGCTAGACCTGAGCAAGTTGCGTGGAGACGTTTGATTTTATCTGAAAATATTTGAAATCTTTGAAAATACCACCTTGAAGCGCTGGGTTTTTTTTAACAACTTTGACCAATCACAATTTGTTAAGTTCTAAAATGCAACAAGCTAATGAAAGACACCAGTGCACTAATCTCAGCCCAAATTATTCATGCATAGGTACCTGCAGCTAAACCACTTCTGTGCCTGTGGTTTATCTGTCACCTGATGACAGCTGTCAAATACACAGCAACCACAAACCCCGATTTTTATGTACTATAAAAACAGCTGAACCAAACATCAACGTGTCAAACTGAAACGGAGTCTCTGTTTAATCCACACATCCTGAGGAACGAAAGGGAAGCAAGACTAAGACAGCACATGAGAGAAATTACTTTCGCTCCTGTTAGTCTGAACTCGGGCGGAATTGTTTCCTCATCTTCACCCAGTTTTTTGCGTTGTTCCTGTTTGGTTTTCTCCTGTGAAGGCAGAATGAAAATAGTATTAAGAAAAAGAAACAACTACATCCCAACAGAAATGTCTACGAGCAAGCATTCAAAGTCTTCAGTCTCCTGATTCAAACTAGTCTTCCTAATTCAATCCAGCTACAGATAAAAACCTCCCCCTGGGGCAGGGGAGGGCAAGTGGGTGGCTGCCCGGTGTTTGGCTGCCTGTTGGGTTTAAACCACGACACCAGATCTGTGACAAAACCCAGTGTTTTACGTATCACTCCTGATTTAAACAATTCACCATAAATCTGTGCCCTTTTGAGAAAGGAGCATACTGCGTGCTACCTCTGACGCGTGTGTTATCCCTGCTTTAGTTCAGCAGTAAGACACAACGCAAATGCAGTTTTTAGACACTGAGGGAACTCCTGTACAGGCAAAATTATGAAGAAAATGTACTCGGTGTGCTGAAATCCTACTAGCGCTTCCGAAGCAGAACACAACTGGGTACAGAAGTAACTGTATTTTCTTAAAAAGTGAAAACGTTATTTCTAAACTGTTTCTAGCCTCAGTAAGGCTGAAGACAATGGCTTGCAGGCCTGTTTGTTTCTCTACCTTAACTTTGTCCACAGCAGGCTTCTTTTCCTCTGGATCAGGCTCCCTCTTTCCCAGGCTGCTGGACAAGGCTTCCAGTGCTTCATCTGCCACGTGACCAACCTGCGAGGATACAGTAAAAAACGAGTCGTTGTTTGGAGATCTGCTGCAACTGAAGAAACGTCTTCATACCCCACCACTGCCAGCCACACGGTACTCTAGGAAAAAACTGAAAAGTAAACTAAAAAACTGTAGCACTTCTCTTCCTGTCTTCACACGCTCGGGATCTGCTCAGTTCAAGGCATAAGGAAACTGTGACAGAGGTTGCTCTGTGAACAGGCTTCTCCCTTCCACAGCCTTACTCACAGATGACGTGTTCCACAGGGGGTTTGGCTGGCCGTTTTGTTTTTTAACAGAAGTGTATATATTCTGAGCAGAGATGCAGGAACGTCTGCCATTAATGCGATCTTCCGAAACACTCAGTGGGACAATTTGCCTCTTCTTCTTTCCCTTCAGTACTTACTGAGTTCACTTTTAGAGCAGCAGGAGCTCAAGCAGACCACAAGAACTGTCTGTTTGACTTCCTCTATTGAGAGGGCCACTGACCTTCCCCATTCAGTTTGTGCTTGCCTGGATTTTTTTTGGAAAGTACTCAGCCTTTGTGGCTTACCTCTACGGAGGGAGAATACGCACCACTGAAATAAGCATCTCGCCAATACACTACACAATGAAGCACTGAGTCTTGCTTTAGCTCTGGCTAAGACAACTCACTGAGGACACAGCTGAAGGAGCTGACGACTGCACGGTGCAAGCTGCGACACGAGGGACCACTTCATCCTGGGTAGTTTTAGCAGACACGGGATCTGAAGGCTTCTGAAACGGAGCAATGACACTGCACTTTACTGAATACGCTCAGTAACCCAAAACATACCTGTTAAGTCGCTTTTTAAAGTTTTAAAATACAGTACAAAACAAGAAAGACAAGTCTAAATTCAGAGGTAGGTGTCCTTCAGCTAAGGACCAAGTGCCAATACTGCACATTCCACTGAAGGCAACAGGGCGGGAAAAAACAGAAATATTTCTCTTGAGAGAACAGTAGCACTACCCAGTCTTAGCAAAACTATCACTGTCAGCATCTTCAATGAACCAGAAAGACGTACTTTGGATGTGCTGCTGGGCTTCGATGGTTTGGGCTGTACTGCAGGCTGTGCCGGGCGGGCAAAGTCTTTCGAAAATTCATCGACAAGATCAGATTCACTCAAAGGCTGCAAAAAAGACAGACGTGGTACAGGTGACTTGCTGCCTGCTTTTGATTTATTTTTTTGAGAACTGTATTTCAGCTACTCAGAAAGCAGGAAAACTTTTGTAGCCTACATCAAAACAACATTTCACATTTACGTGCAGCAAATCAGCATGAATTTTGAAGGGCGCAAAATTAAGTAAGACACTTTTCAGAATGACTCGGTTGCTTTGTTATCAAAATTCGGTGTAATGCAGAGAACATTCTGTTTACAGGGCTACTGAAAAGGAAAACACAACCTCTTAATTAGAAAAAAAAAAGAATGCTAATAATTACTAGGTAGTATTTACTATAACAGCATCACGTTGTTGTAATACTTCAATTACATATCGATAGTGGAAAGCAGAACTGTCAGATTATGATTCTCCATTTGTTTCACTTTCTCCAGCAGAAGCAGAGCTCCCGCAGGGCGGTGTCACCTAGATGTCCCCTTAGCTTGTTCACTCACTGACTGCTGACACTCTGTGGCTTTCACTGGGCACGTTTTAGGGAAAAGTGAATAAACTGCAGTTTTAGTTCCTACTCTGTGACCTGTTACAGTCTGTTGGTACTACGGGATATGGTACTCCATGTCTATACACTTCTGCGGGCTATTACTAATGCTCCTGGGACCCTTCAAACTGCTGCTTACACCTAAATGTTGAAATCTTTGCTAGCGGTGATCACCATTCACTTGCCAGGTTAGGGCTTATTTGGTCAAACTCATCCGATGTAAAATGACATTTCTGAAGGAGAGTGAGTCTCCCATTCTCCCTCCCACTTTCCTTCCTCGGTGGATCACAGCCCCTAAGTCTTCATAAAATGCCTCATCACAGAGTGCCCCACTTTTCATAATGTCTGAATTCCTCTTTCAACCACTGGATCGAAAAAAGCATTTAAGCTTTTTTTCACAAAAGTAATGCCAGTGCGTGTGCTTAGGGGTCTGCAGAGTGTCTGCCCAAAGGAACAGAAGCCCTAGTGGAAATCACAAAGGAAGAACAACTTTGCATTCACCAGGGATCAATGAAGAACTGTAAGTGACTGAAGGTTTTTCAGCTATTGATGCAACTTCCTTTTTTTTTTTTTTTCCCCTGGATTTGATTTCAGAGATGTAAATTACTGGTGGGACCACAGGAATACTGGCAGACACATCTTGCTCAAAATCACCTTCAAGTGATAAATAGTGAAAGCAGGGCCGAGAAAAATACTGCAACATATGACTTCGATAGCACTGCGATTCACTTACAGACCAAGGATTCAGTGGCAGTTGTGTCTGACTGACAGAGGTGGAAGAGCACAGGAATACTGACTCTTCTACCAACTGCTTCATTCTTTTGGCACGAGCCCTCACGATTCTGAGCTCATCTTCTCTTTGGGGTTTGTACTGGACCTTAGTCAAACTATGAACCAACCTCCCTTAACTCACACCATGTTCCTCTTCCAGAGGTCTGGGGTTTTTTGTGTGCCATCTCCTTATGCTCCCTGTGGCAGAGGAAGGCCTGTCTCCTAACACCAGTGCCTGTTCCCCGCGGAGCACTGCTGTTCTCTTCGTTCTATCCTGCACTTTCTAGGCCATGACAGATACTTTTTGCAAAGTCCAAGTTGTTCTTTCTGATTAGGAAAATGTCAACAGCAGCTTTTTCCTTCTTTCCAGTCGTGTTCCTCTATGTTTGATGACTAATGAGAGGAAACTGTCGAGAAAAGAACAGATTTTCCTGCCTCGCCTCTCCCTGTCCTTCAGCAGCTCCAACAGACTTCTGCAGAACACCCCACACAGCCTTTGTTTGTGTCACAGATCACTTCTGTAGCTCTCTCCTATCTCAGCGATCTCTAAACCTTTTCCTCACTATGAGCTCCTCATTCACCAGCAGTGAATTTCGATACAGCCAACTTTCACCTGACAATTCAGATCAGCAGGTTTTGCACAAGGAAGCAAAGCACACAGGCAGACCAGCAGACTTACTTAATGGCACAGAGAGAAGTGGTGACAGAGAGGGAGAAAACAGGGTATCAGTTCACACTCCTACAATACTGTCAGTTTTCTAACCTTAGGCTTTTCTTCAGGCTTTGGCAATACTGGTTTTCCATCTTTATCCTAAAAGTAAAGTAAACGTTATTGACATCTTTCCTTTAAGAAGCACCATACTCCAAAATCACCAACATCATAATATAAGTGATATGCACAAGGTGAAATCAGTGACACCGTAACAGGGATTTCCCTAAACAGGGAAAAATTGTACATGGCCAAGTAAGTGGATAAAGAGAAAGCAAATCTCATGTCAGCACAGGTTCAAGAGGACAAAAATTTTCACTCCTATCTGTCTCAATATGCAGCAGGAATGATTTCCATAGTGAACAAGCAGGTATTTCATCCAGTAGGAAAATGAGCCTTGAGTGCAAAAGACAAACTTTTGCACTTGAATAAACAGGGGGTTAAATCCCAGGTCTGTACTCAGACAGTCTTGAAATCTCTAAAAAGAGGCATAGAATTGTTGCTTTCAAAACAGAATGTTAATATTCAGCTCCAGCCCGGCCAGTTTACACAGCAACCTTGCTAACATCAGTTATACTAACAAGGACCACAGAAACTTTCAATTCTGAACTTCATGGAAAACATACCCAGTTCTACTGTTGTTTTGCTTAACCTTGAATAAATCTCCATCACCTGAAGTGACAATCTGGAAACAGGAGTGTCACTTTCATACCATTTTTCAATAGCGTTTCAAGGCCACACTACAAAGCGATACCCAAGAGCACTTCTGTATGGGGACAGACTGTACAACACCGAGGTTAACGGGAGAAAGGAGTAACACCACCGCCGGAGGAGGAGTGGTGACCTGGGAAGGTCAGATCTTTGCTCAGAACGCCTGAAAAACTCAGCTGTGCCCACAAAGGAAGGGAGGGAAGCTAGAGATACAGAAATCACCAACAGCAGAAAGCTGTTGATTCAATACTAATTTTGCTTGGTTCCCCCATGTTTTTCCCCTCTCTGTGAGGAGAAGGTGTCAGGTGCAGTGGCCTATTTACACAGCAATGGGGACATGAAAAACTTACCAACTCTGGTGTTAACCTGTATTCTGGAGGTATTGTATCATCACGTTCTCCAGACTTTTCTTCTTTTTTCTCTTTAGCTTTTGCCTTAAAGAAGAAAAAAAGCACCTTAGAGATATTAAAATAAAAACTCAAAGTATGCTTGACTTCACTATCAAGGTTCTTCAGCCTACTGTTTGAAGAAGTACTATCGTTAGACAAAACGACTCATGTATCAAGATATTAAAACTCCTCAATTTATTCCTATCAAATGTCTGTGGTAAAATCATCACGGTTTAAGAATCAACACCAGATGTGAATATGGCTTAATTCTTATTTTAAATTCTAGGAAACTGCAGACATTGTTCAGAGCCACAACTTTGTGGCAGGTACTTTTTAGGGGTGTACAAAATCCTCAGGTTTCCTTGGATGTCATCACTCTGAGTCTATCAGCTATTAATTCTGTATCTTTTCTCATCACTGATACTGAAACATGGCTCGCATCATTCTCGACCTCCTTCATGAAGCAGTGCACCCACTCAGTTATCTCAAGGCCCAGAGTGACCAAAGCTGCAACACAACATGCTGGGCTTTGTCAACATTGAGCTCCAACATCTTCTCTCAGCAACAAAAAATTTTCTGCTATTTCCCTGACATTTGTTTGCTCTGGGCTGTAAGGGGAATATAACTGGTATTAGTAGGGTTATAGGGAGAGTTTGCAAAACCAGACTAAAAAGTAAAAGTTTAACATGCAAACACAGGGCTACTGTTCAAATGTACCTGTGAAAAAAAAAACAAACACAAGTCTTGGAAGACACAGCAAAAGGCGAGACCCAAATTAGAAAGATAATGGGGTTTGATGGGAAAGGGAGCACAGGCACCAAAACTTCAAAATGTTAACTCAAAATCAAGCAGCAAATACGTGCAAAATGGAAGCTTGCATGCGTCCAGTGCCTGGGAGAAAAAACAGAGCAACCACAGCTAACATATGGCGAGGTGTATGTGTGTGTGCACCTGGACCGCCAAATGAAATGCTCACTGCTCTCCAGACCATCTCACTATATCCTCATCCACCTGTACCCACTTGGGATTTCTTCATTTTCTAATTTTCTTAATCACGTAAGACTCAGACATTCCTCAGGCCTTTGATATGAACCCACTGGTGCAGTATCGAACAAAGAGAACTCAGGATTCCACAGCAGAGTCCAGAATCTGAGGAAAAAAGGAGTGAGAGGATACCTCTGACACCTCCACAACAGGGGTGGGATCTTCGTCAGGTTCAGGTTCAGGTCCACCAAGAGTATCAAGAAGAGCTTCCACGGCATCCTCTTTAATTTCCTGTATTTAAGAAAGTATGCAACTCATGATTTCTTTAAACTGACACAGGCTTTACCTTACATGCATTTTATGCTGTCTGTGAAGCAAACTGACAGCACTAGACTGGTTATTTCTGGCTTTACCCGATTTCCTAAATACCACACTGCAGGATATGGCAAATTATGTAGTAAGATTCGCACAGTCTAATCTAGACGTATCTCCTCTTAAGGAGATGGGGAAAAGAATTTAAAAAGCAGGTGAAAAAAAGCACAGTATCACATAACACAATTGCCATTTGCTTCGACATGGCAAACCCAGAAAGTGTTACGGTCACACTTGCTCTCTGCAGAGGGAAAAAGAAAGGTTTGTAAAACGTGAGAAAATTACATCAGAGCCAAGTTTTAAACGCACCTCACGTAGCTAAGAAAACACATGTTTCTACTCTATTGCCTCTAGCCAGAAGAACCGCAGAAGGATGCAGAAGCAAAATCATCTGGACCGCTAAGGCCAGATCTCTGCGGTACAGCAGTCCAAGCAACAGCAATTCCTATTACACCTACATTTCCTACTATAAAAACAGGTTTTACAAAAGCAAAGGAGGATGATGAGCATCTTTACAACACCTGCCGCACATAAAACACGACATGTGCTTGTAAATTTTCATTAGAAGTTTACTAGTCGAAAGAATGACTGTGTATACCTCTTGTGATTTTGTTTTCTTCTCCTTAGGAGGAACCGAGGTCTTGACTGAACTTGCCGCCTGTGCTTGCACGATTTCTCCTTCCTTACTTGGATTCTGGGAGAGAGATGAAATTACAGGCAAGTTTGCAAAAATAAAAAGAAGGGGAAAGGTCATTTCATGCGAAATATTAGGATAAAAATGGCAATGTTTGGCTGCAATAAAGGCATGCAATGGCAGGAAAAATATCAATACCTCTGTCAGACTTGTCTTCTTCTCTTCAGCGGAAGCAACACTACAGGTGAACTCGGATGACAGGGCCTCTGCAAGCTCATCATCTGTCATCGGCTTCTGAGCAAGAAATCACAAACGAGGTTCTGATTATTAAAGTGCAAATATCAGTGCTGCCAAACTCGGTTTAGAAGCTGAGCGTGCTCCACACTTACTCACACAGTGACCTCATGTCACTGTCACAGAAAAAACAAAGTTATTTCCCTGCACTGGTTGATCCCTTGTTCAGTAAGCTTTTATTTCTGTACGTTAAGCTTATAAACAGTAAAATTAAGCTGTCTGACAGAATTCTCCTCCTAAGAATAGGAATTCAAGTCATCTTCGTTAAAGACATTACGCAGAGACTCCTGCATGCACAGCTGCTATTTCTTCCCTTTGTTATTATTATGCCCAGTACCTCTACGAGTGTTTAAATTGACTTGTCAGTCAGCTTCAGTCAGTATCCTGAAAATTCCTACTTCTTTATTAAAAACATCTGAGTTTTTATGTAGTTCAATGTAGTTTTATCAGTGTCTATGTCATCTGGCACCCACAGCCCTCTCCCACTTCCTGGGATTTTTGGAAGACGGGCAACATTTAATTTTTTCTGGTTTATTTTCAGCTAATATAAAGAAAAAGGTCTTACTTTATCGCGTTCATCTACTTTTGGTGGGACTTCATCTTTGTGATCCCCTTTGCCCTAAAACAAGAACAAACTCTGTGGTAAATGGGAAGCAAAAACATACAATATTAAAGAAAAAGACGTGAATAATTATTTTTAACTCACTAACCTTCAACAGTTTAACATACTCTGGAGGGAGACTACCTTCCCGTTTACCCATTTCTTCCAAGTATCTTGAAGTAATGTCTTCCTATGAAAACAATGCACACATTCACGTTTATGTAGTCACTTACTGAAATTAATTTCTAAGGCAGTGATACTTCTGGACAGAAAACGTGCGGGTTGGGTGGTCAGAGGCCAGTCCCAGACCGTGTGTCTCTCACAGCCCAGCACCACACACAAGCATCTCCACCAGCTTCAGCAGGACATGTCCCCCTGCCGAACCCCGCACCCCCACGGCCGGACCCCCTCCGCACTAACAGAAGCCACTTCAGTGCCTGGGACCACGGCGTATTGCTGCCCCAGACAATGTCAAATATTCATAGATCACAACATCTTTATCACGGCTGAATGCTGTGCTGAGCTGTTGTTATCTTAATCCTCCTTAGGTTACTCTCCCATTCTAAGTCAGAAAAGTATGCATTCTTCCCCAAATTCTCAATGTTTTTCTCAAGTAGAAATGAAATCCCCTGGGTTGTTTGGCTCTCTAAATTCTCCATCACTGCCTTCTGTGAATCCACTGGAGACCATGCTTGCAAATCAGTTCAAAAAGCAACAAACTTCCTCTGTTGACACTTCACTGTTTTCTACCACACTACATACAGAACTGCATCACTTATGTGTTACCAAAAACAACATGAAAATGCAACTGCGCAAGTTCTATTCCACCTCTTAGCACGTCAAAGAGACAAATACCGGATCAATGTAGCAGTGAGCAACTACAGACATATTTTACAGATGAATCTTCTAAATACTAAAAATTTAAAATGCAAGTACCGTAACTTCTGGACCAGTGTAAACAGGACTAGGAGGCACATCTTCTTCAGGTCCACCTAGAGTATCTATCAGGCTATCTAGCGCCGACTCATCCATAGCAGGCTAAAAAAGAAGCAAAGCATTATGGAAGTTATCACACTGTACAAAGAAAAAAAAATCTGAATCATCTGGTGAATCTGTAGAAAACTCCTGGAAACCAAACCAAAAGCTTTCTTTCGGTAGGTCCCACACTCGCCATAACTCTTCTTAGACTCAACGCCCCAGCATCAGGAAGGAGGTAATCTGGATTTATGTACCAGCTGACACACACACACATACACAAACACAACTGAAGGTAAAGAGTAATTAATTTTACACTAGTTGTGGTAGAAGTGATTCTAAATAAATCCTGCATGACAAACACAAGTGAGATGCCACTAGTTCGTTACCTGTTCTTTCAGACAGTCCGTCACCACCACACATAACTACGGCACAGCAATGCTGCAGCAGTTACCGGTTTATTTTTTCTGAACCTGAACTGTTTCAGAGACAAACACTCTCTGAGACATTTCTACAAGGGAAGCATTTGTCTGGGACTGTGTTTACCAACCTCAGTGCTTGACTTCTCAGCTGCAGCAGCGGCGCTTGCAGCAGCTGCGCCTGCACCAGCCGTTACAGACATCTTCTGAGACTCGGGCTGGAGAAGTAAGGGAAAAAATAAGAGATGGCTTTATTATATGGCTCTACATTTAACATTCTATGGGTAAAACCAAGGACAACAGACATTCCACTCAGGCGTGCCTATAGTGTCCCTCTTCATCTACATTTTGAATCAAAATGATAAGCGGGTTCTACCTAGTGGCTGAGTGAGCAAGCTGCAGCCTGCACAACACCGAGCCCAGCCTAAAACATCCAACTCTGAGGCCATGCATACTTTTTTTGGACTCAGCAAGTGGCTAATTGTGATCATCTTCACGTTACTTGCTTGGCTAACAGCCGGAGAATGCTGGACCTTGGAAACAGGCGTACAAAGAGGACCACAGAAGGTGGATGCAGGCCAGCATCACCCAACAACCAGCACCAACCAGCGGCACCAGCCAGCCAGGCAGCTCAACCTGCACCTGATGCTCATCCACCAATGCTGTCGTGGGTGGGCTGGAAGTGGTATATTCAGGACGTTATTTCAGTTAATTAGCAGGTAAGGCGTGAAGTTTCTAAGTCCCAGATTTTAGAGCAGCACAAGGAGGCCTGTCATACACACCTTCAAACACAAGACAGCTTCTGAGCTTTCCTGAGTTATGATTTAGGGGGAACAAGTCTCACTTTACAATATTCAGCCTGAGAATCCATCCTGACATGAATTTCTAAACCCTGTAATAACATAAATAATAAAAATTGGATTGCTACTTCCACTATACCTTTGCTGTCTCTACAGAGGTCGTTTTTGGAGGCTGGTCAGCCTGAGTTGTAGTTGCTTGTCCTGTATTATTTGGTTTAGAAGTTGTTGCCACAGAAGGTGAGGTTTCGCTTTTTGCCTGTGTAGGGATAAACAGTATCATTACATGGGGAAATATCTAAGGGCTGACTTTGTTTGGTTTGGCTTTTTAATATTTTCTTTCTAAACAAAAGAAAGAAAGAAAAAAACAAACAGAGAGAAAAATTATACAAGTTACACCTCCAGGTTCCTTTTGCCTCTCCTCAGACAGTTGGTTACTTTCAGAGTCTGTTGGCTGTCATAAAATAAAAAATTGGGGTCATTCACCCTTACCACCATTCCGTGGTAATACTCCCTCGGCCAAACCAGGCCCGCTGCTCTGGCTGTGCCCCCCCAGCTTCGTGTGCACCCGCACACGGGCAGGACACGGGGAGTTGGAAAGTCCTGGATTTCTCAGCCACACCTGACACCATCAGTGTGTTACCAGCATCCTTCTCATGCCCAGTCCCATGATGAACACAGCACTATTCTGGCTACTAAAAATGAAAATGAGCTCCACCCCATCCGAAACCAGGAGAGATTTATCGATGGTTAACAGAACACTTCTGAGCGGCTGTGAAGCACTGAGCACCCTGACTGTCCCACACACTGCTCGGCTCCTTGCTCTCCCACACACACGTGTTACTCATCACCCGGCGGTTTCACGTGGCACACCAGTAGCAAAGAGTTCAGCCTCTTTTTTCAAAGTCAGTCCAAGACCGAAGTACAGCCCGCTGAAGGTGAAAGAGAACTACTTACCTGGGTTGACTGCATGTTTTTCCCAGATTCTGTTTTGGTTGTTGGTGTGAACTGAAATATAAGCAACATACATTCAGACAGAGATTAATACGCTTGGTTATTTCTAAGGGGTTGACATATATAAAGAAGAGTAAGAGAGAGGTTCACACTCATGAGCACACACGCTGTGCAACTACCACCCAGCACTCTGATCTTGCTGCTGACAAATCCTGGCACAGACCTCTGCCCCAGCGACCCGAGAGAGCTCACACGTGTGCAAACACACACACACACTCCTCACAGGAAGGATTGAAAGGGGAGGGAAAATAGTATTAAACAAATATAATGAACAGTTTGATTTACACCTGAAATTTTTCTGCAGCCGTGCCACAGAATTAATTCCTGTGATTCACGTCAAGTCAAGGTACAGTAAGCAATGAATTACTACTAGTAGGAACACGTAAGAGCAAACACTGAAAAAATTAAAGAATGGTGGCATCTGGTTAAGAAAGAAAAATGAAAATGCCAGACTCCCCACCATATTTTTCTTGCTGTTTTTTCTCGCTACTTCAACTGTGCTACGACCAGCACAGAGCCAATGTGGCTACTGGAAAGTCATCTGGAGATGCCAAAGAGAAGGTGGTGCCACAGACAGACCCCCCTTATCCCCTCTACCCTACTAGTACACAAAGCATATTGAATGTCACTAAGAGACAAATAATAGGGCTTTTTCCCCAGCAGCCCATTAAAAGTCAGTAAACAACCAAAAAAAAAAAAATCCATTAGGCATCAATTATAAGTTTTTCATTGCTTTGTAATGTTTTCATTAGAGCTGTCAAACACTAATTACCATTTAGCTCTACCCAGCTTCTGTTTGCTAGCTGACCTCGTAGGGAAATTTGCTCAAGTTGTTTACCATTTGTTATGCAAGTACTCACACCCACACACTGAACCACAGACACTGGGTTGGGAAATCCTGAACGGGCATAAAAATGCAGATGCCTGGGCATAAAGCTGGCAGAGGCTTCCAAGCTGTAGACCACAGTAAAGAAGTCACAACAGGTAAAATCTTGATAGAGAGGGAGGAGTGAATTTCCCAAAGTGGGAAAAAATTTCAAATAAAATTTTTTTTAAAATCACGTAACCTCTCAGGTTCCCCGCTTTGGATTTTCCCTTATGTTTAAGCTGACTAAAAGGTTGTAGTTCTGAGCTGCAGCCACACTTCATATGCTCCCACTTGTACATCCTCCTTACGTGGACACCCTATAGTTAACTCAAAGACACACGCATCCATTTGTGTACCTGTACACTAAATAACCCTATATTGAAAAGGTAATCCTAAATTTTCACAGTTTTTAAGCTAAAAAAGCTCGGACATGTTTATGTAGCATCTAAAGCAAAGAGTCAGTTGGACGGGAGATGCTGCAAAGAAACGTAACAGAAGTGCAAGCATGAGGGTCAGGAAACACCCAGTCTGGCTCTTCCTGCGGCGGGACTGTTGCCTGCTCAGGACTTTAAGGACCCCGCTCTCAGAGCACAAATTCAAGTTTTCCTGACTTGCTTTTCAGAAGAAAAGTAAACACATCTTTTCTGTAAGACAATAACATGTATTTACTCTCGTTTCTGTCAAGACCTGACAACAGCTGTACAGAACGTAACTTCCAATTCCCAGCCTGCCAAAGCAGTTATTGGCAACTGTGCCTTTTTTTTTTTTTTAATATTGTAAATATTTATTTACTAAATACTTAACATATTTTTTGTGTACAGTATGCTGTATTCTTGTACATCTTTTAAAAAGTGCAGAATCGCTCATACCAAGACTTCATCTACGACAAGGCTGAAGAACATCCAGACTCACAGGGGCAACGCTTTGCTTCAAGACTTCAGCACACATGATGATGCCAAGGCCACGTTAAAACACACAATCACGAACATGTATGTGCTCTCATGCACAGAGACACATCTATTTAGACAGGGACACTTGGTACAATCCAATTTAAAAAAAAAAAAATTGTTAGCGGGCAAATCAAACCAAGTTTTACCACGAGACTCTAAATTCCAAGGCCACTCAAGTCCACCTTGAGGCTGAGCCAGCTGTGAGCAGCCACAGCCTGAAGCCACAGCTTACAGCACACACTGAACTTCTACAGAGAAAAATACATTCCGCCTCTCCTTCTGCTGCCTGCTTCCACCTGCCCCATGCTGGTATCCGAGAGGCCACATTTCAAACTGGCTCAGGAAAATGAAGAACAGCCTGGAAGACAAACGCAGTGTTTTCTCACTAGTTCCCCCGTTCAGAGCGCGGTGGCACAAGTGTGTGCAGAAGGGAGAAAGCTGCACGGGATGTGGTTGTCTCGGTGGCAGTGGCTATGTCCTGCTCCTCCCAGGCTTCAGCCAAAGCCACAGGGCAGTGGCAGAGCAAATGTGAGACAAAGGATTCCCATGGACAGACTCCAAGGTCAGGAGGGCCCAGAGCACACCGGAGAGCAGCGGCACACGGGAGACTCCGAGAAAGGGAAGTGAGACGTGGTTACAGCAGGCAGCCGGGACAGAGCTGTTAATTGGCAAGAAATTTAGAACAAGAAGTGAAAGTGACTCAGCAACCTTACTTCTTCTCAAAGAATTCTACTGTCAAAATGCGGACGACCTGCTTAATCCGGTAGGAGGAAGATATTGATAATGCAACAGACATTAAAAGAAAACATGAACTGCCTTACGCATGCAAATGCAGGACACTGTTTCAAAGTGATCTGTGTTTACCAGCCTCTGATACTCTATTTTTGTCTCATCTTGAAAACACCAGTTTTAAAGGTCTGACTGGAAATTTACCACATTCTTCTGACACTTATTTCAAATTTCAAGTAGGGGAAAAATGAAACTATTTTTAGACAGCTGTCTGGGTTGAAACACGTGGAGAACAGCATCAGTGAGGAACACGATGGCAGTGAGTCTGCTCACAATCAAAACAGGAAGGTGAGACTGGGGACTTGCAGATACCTTCATTTATGATCAGGCACAAATGGAAAAGGTTTAATTGTCATCAAGCTCTTGCCACCGGTCTAAGTCTTATGTGTGCACGTGGAAGTTAGGAGTTTTGGAAGGCTGAGGGGGATGTAATGACTAACTTCAGAGACAGAGAAGATGGAGCAAGGCTGTCTTCAGAGACGCGCGCCAAAGCGACAAGAGGCAGCAGATACAAGCTGCAGCAAAGGCACTTCTTGTTTGGCGAAAGGGGAAAAAAGAATAAAAAAATCATCACAATGAAGGTGACCAAACATCAGAACTGTCTGCCCAGAGCCCTGCGGGTGGCAGGGCAGGGTCTGCCTGGCACGGTGACCTCCAGAGAGGCCTCGTCTAACCCCAGCACCGCCCGACACATTCTTCATTCAGGTTTACCCAAGGTACGGGCAGGCCTAACGTCTACCACCACCCAGGTAGCTCCCTGCAGGTCTGGTTTGGTGTTCAGTACTCTTGTTGGTTTCACTATTACCATTATGGAAGAGGGAGAGAACCATTAATCACTTGTTTAAAAAATATACGTAAATTCTGTTAGGCAACAGAGGCGTAAGGGAGGATTATGACTCTCTTCTAACCAGTAAAGTACGTGATTGATGACACAGCTTCCACCGTGAAGTTCTAGTCATAAGGACAAGACAGAACAAGCGTAAAGGACAAAGGCAAGGAAGCTGTCAGACAAAGATATGAGATTAGCGAGAAGATGCAATTGTACACACACTAAAAGCTGAAACTTGTCCTGAATTCCTTAAGTATGTGAAGAATTATCATCAGGTAAATAACCCTGTAACTACACCGGGGGAGCTATATACGTGTGGCAAAGTACGACTGAGCTAAAATTTAAAATTTTGATTAAAATTTTTATTGCTGTCACAAAATCCTCTGAGTGCTTTATATATTATTTTTCAGATCTTTTTTGAAGAGGAAAATAAGCTGCAGACAAGAAATAGGCAAAATAAAGCTACTCAGTAGCAAAGTCTTAAAAAAGAAATTCCACTGCTGCATATATTTGTGTTGAACTGCAAGCATGAGTTCCTCAGGAATTCATACCTTTGTTTCAGATGGCTTCATAATTTGTGTCTTTGATGCATCCGTGGAGGGCGACTGCTTCTGAGAGAAAAAAAAAAAAGGCAATTAATTTCACCTTTGTTATATATACTTCTATTAAGCAAGCATAAGCAACCCGAATCCATCAGCCACCCAGCTAAAAACTAAGAATAAATTATTACTGAAAATGAGAGTTACTGTTATAGATCCTCCGGCTTGCCTGCATTTCCACAGCACACAAACGTAGGATTTCAACAGTGTGATGCCCTTACGCCTTCTCACAACATCAGTTTTTTCTCTGATGTGAAAACAAATTTCACATCAAGTATCGAAACAAACTCAAAACCTGCTCCAAGTACTTACTGGGCAGGATTTGTCTGCATTTCTCTTTTCCTTTTTAACAAAAATTGTACTTTTGGATTTCCTAGTTTATCATACAAAATATTTAATACTAAATCAGCAAACTCCGGTATGTTCAGATAAAAAGGATCTGGGGGTAAGGCCGACACAAGTGTTTCCCCATACCACGCGACCCTTCGGAGCAGCTGCAAAGGACACGGCCTGCGTTCCTACTTGCAGTGACGTGAGCTGGAGAGCAGCACGTTTTAATTCTGCTGTGACTGTATCGAACTCCAAAGCCCAGAAACTAATATTCTAATTGCCTCATCAATACTTTATATAGTTGTAATACTACCTCTGTATTCCTGCTTCATGTTCCTCTGCTCAAAGCTGTATCTGCCATCTCACAGCAACACATTCATAGTTTACATCTAAATGAAGAGCACAAGGTATCGATCTCTCTAGATTTTCTCTTCATGTTTACCATGCCAACTGACGTAGGAAAACACACCTTGTCTGAATGAACTCAGAAGCCGTATAACTATTCCATACCTCGGGTAAGTTCTTCCACAGGGAAAATCTTCTCATTTCTGTCACATTTTTAGTACAAGCCTTTCTCGGTGATAAAACAAAAAATGTACAGAATTTAAAAGGTACGCTATGAGACTGACAGCCTGCTCTCCCTGCCAGCGTGTCCGCACACCTTAGAAAGAGGTTTGACTACTCTAAATATACACAAGTTGTCACACTGCAGAAATGTAACCAGCTACACCCGCTGCCATACACATACAGATTGAGTACATAATAGATGGGAACTTCTGTACAGGTGGAGACGTACTCAGGAACGTACAGATCCTCTGACATCAGGACGGGGAACAGAAGTTGTTAAACAACCTTTCTATGTATTCCCACTACCACCATCTGCAAGCTGTATTCTTAATTCGCTCTTTCATAGTTTTTCCTTTCCTTTTCCTTCTTCTCCATGAAATTCACCTGATACCTTCTACATGACTAACAGGTAACCTGCTCTACACCTTCAGTCACCCTAGTCCCTGTACATTTAATAAAACCACATTTATCTGAGCCCTTCTCTCTCCTTCCCCTCAGAAAACTCCTAGCAGGCCTTTTTCTTACAATACACCAAAAAATTATTTCCCAACTTGCAGCACAGCAGCACTACTACAACCTGCAGAGATTAGTGAAAACCCCCGAAAGAAACCAGCTGCTGCTTCTTTCTACCCTGTCCAGCCGAAGGCAGTAGCTACCAGAAAGTAAGGGACGCAGGAAGATGAGTTGTTTTGGGGACAGAAACAGTTTAATGCGCAGCTGCTGATCAGTGGCTACGGGAAATGCTGAGCCATCCTCTCCGTAGACATGAAGGTTGATTTGGGGAACAAAACCCTGTCTGGGGATCCGGAGAGCACAGGACACCCCCCCGCCGACCACCTCTGTGCGCACAGGCAGTGCCGTACCACCGCCGCCTTCTCAGGGCACCACGTGCCTCACTGCAGCACTTTTTTTTTTTTACAGCACTTTTTGCCTGAATCCCCCAATATTCCAGACCTCTGATTTTCCACTCTTGTTGCCCGAAAGAGCCACTGCAAGGAACAAGGAGGTCCTTGTCCTTCCCAACCCTTTGGTGTGTGGGGTCTGCAACCCTGCTGAGCCTCACGGACTGACAGCGCAGCAAGGTACGGCGGCCCAAGCCCTCGCTGGCTTGCCAACACCAGCCTGACTCCCCGGGACTACTTTTTACGGTGGGCTATTCTGGTTTTTCCTCTTCCGAGGGCCGTGTGCTGTGGCCAGCCATGCCCAGCTGTCAACTGGCTGCATTTGCTACAGCCCAACAGTGGAACTGCAGGAGGGGTGAAGCAACACATGGACGGGTGTCAGGCGTGGAGGTAAATATTAAAAGTGCTGCCTAGCAACGGGCTTAATAACCGCCTGACACAGAGCTTCCGCGGCGGCTGCAGCCCGGGGAAGGCACACCCTGCTCGCACCCAGGGGTGGCAGAGCCCTGCCACGGCCCGGGCCAAGCGCCGAGTTCCGCTGCCCAACAGCAAAGCAAGAACCAGGAGAGTCTGACTCATCCCAGAGGCTGGGGCTGGGCAGAGAAAGCCAGGAGCTCCCACGGAGAGAGCGAGGGTTTTGTTGTGTTACGAGCAACGTCCCGGAGGGCAGAGCTGGCAGCGGGTGGAAAAACGAGCGTCACCGGCGCTGACGCCTGTTCCTCCTGCGGTGGCACCCCCGCAGGTCCTGCCCGGACAGAGGTACGGGTGCTGGAGGGTGCTGTGCCAGCCACGGTCCTGACGCGTGGGGAAGTGCCCTGTGAGTGAGGGGGCAGCTTTCCAGGGAGGGCTGATGATCTTGGGGTCTGATTTGGTAAGAGAAGGAATCCCCTTAGAAACTAGTCAGTCTTTGTGCTACTGTTGGAAGAGAACAGTCACAAAAGCTGAAAAGTGCGTTAGTAAAACAAAATAAAACAAAAAATCCTACCAAAAATTGGTTATCTAGCCTCACTGTATGTCCCTCAGAAATTTGGAAGTAAAGGGGAAAGTGCAACAGGAGAAGAAAATGACAGCAAAAGTGACAAACACCAAAAGAAAGTATTTTTAACTGTTCAGAGAATGGGATGCAAACGCCCTTCGGAAAAAGAAAATGGGTGAAGAAATCCATGAGAGCTCTCGGTTACAGAAATCTGAAAATCAAGGAAACCACCCCATATGGAATGGGGTGAGAGCTATCAACAACTAAAACCACATATTTTGGGAATTCATGGAGAAGACTCACCAGACTGAGGAAGGTCATTGCCCACCCTTAGAAAGGAGTACAACGCACCAATTGTCTGCCTTCAAAACAAAAGAGACGCTGAAAACATTCACTGAGCAACCAGTACAGAAACACAGGATAACAAGAGAATAAGTAAGAGTCAGCAGGCCAGCCAAGAATAACACACATAAAGACAACGCAACACTCGATAAGCCCAAAACATGGAAATCAGCTTGGTGGGCGAGAATGAACAAAGCTCCAGAGGAGGACACGCTGTCACTGCAACTCTCCGAGAACCTGAGGTGACATTTTCTCGGATGAGAACAGGGAAGTTGGTGTGTAACACTGGGTTAGATGCTTGCCTTCAGCCAGCCCACAGCCTCAACATTTCAGGGAGCTCCTGAAGGGATCTCTGACAGGCTGGTTGGTGTTAGGTTGGAGGGGATGAGACACAACAACACAAAAACCCACAAGCTAGGCGAGCAGCAACACACAAGGTTACAATGCCACGGGCTGACGTACTCTTGCCAGAAAACAATGAAAGAAAGAGGAATCCAAGAAAAAAAATCTGTTACCATGACAATGTAAATATAAATGTAAACTACAGGAATAACTCCATCTTTGTGGCTTGAGCTTCTCCATCTTTGTGGCTTGAGCTTCTCTAGGTCAAGTGCTAGGACAGTTTTGGCCAACACGCCGCAGTACAGGTGAATAAAGAAAGATCTGAGGACAGGTTTAGGAAACAAAAAACAAAAAAACAAAAAAACAAAAAAACAAAAAAAAAAAAAAAGGAAGAAAGTATATGTATAAGGGACTTAGTGACAGAGGAAGCAAGTCAGCACCTGATGTTTTCTCCTCTGGTCAGGGAGCCAAGAAAATGGGAAAAGAACAAGAAACTGCCTTATTCTACAACAAAGAATCCCTCGAGTCAGAGCTCAGAGATCTTTCTTCCCGGGAGAAGAGCTGCTCTGTGGCACAAGCCACCTAGATGAACCGGGCACTTCCAGCCCTGCAGCCTCCGGGCCAGCCAATGTAAGTATTTGAGTGACGTAGCTGTACTCGGTGTAGGACAGGGGACTGAAGAGCCAGCTGAGCACCCCTCTGGGCTTACACACCGCACACACGAAGGAGCTGGGACTGCTTCTCAGGCTTAAAGCTAACACCAACTTTAATATTTCATTCTTACTAACTTACAAGGTGACTGCCATACGGCTGCGTAACGCAAGGCAAACCCCAAGCTACCTGACTACAAACGGCTGCTTCTTTACATGGATGGTTCTGTTACCAAGCTTTAATTAACAGCATTTGCAAGGTGTGGGCAGCAAATGCTCTCCAGAGAACTATCATGAAAAACGATGGGTTATTTCACTTAAGTGTAAAATACCACTTGAGCTGTTACAGGCTAAATCTCTTGCTTGCTTTGATGGCGTGTGGTAATGGCTTGGCAACCCTCTCCTCCCCAGACCCACGAGGGCTGCCAGCAGGCAGGAGGCCGGCAAGGACGGCGCTGAGCGGCCATTCCCGCGCCCCTCACGGCTCCTCGGGAGGAGGCAATGCACAGTCCTCCAAGGACGTCCGCAGGGAGAATCCACACCGTGGCACACACACAGTTCCATTCGTTTTCTGTGGCGCTGAGCGGAGTCGCAAGGCACAATCTGAGCCAACATCTGTGTGTGCGTGCACGTACAAATATGTATATAATTATAAAGAAAAACCCAACTATATTCAAAGCTAGACAGCAGCCAAGAGATGGAGAGATTTAAAACTGGAAAAAATGACTGATGCTACCTCTCTATGTAAATTTTATTGTTACATTATCTGTAAGATGAGTTAAAAAGGACAAAGTTTAGTGCCTCCGTGCTGTTTGCCATCCTCAGTAATTCTGGAAATACCTTGTTATTTTGTAATTACTGTTCTTATACATAGTTCTGCTAATGTTTAGAAAACACCTTTTT